GAAAATTTGAGAGCGTTATTTTTTCATGGACACAAGGAAAACCTGTTGTTCTCCTAGATGATGTATTTATGGATTTTGTTCAGTAAACAAAAATGAATAATTTAATTGAATAAATTAGAAAAATGTAATAAAATGATATTGCAAACTTGATTTTATTAGTTACATTCATGTTCACTCCACTGTAAAAGGTACACATGCACACACGATTCCAACTCCTGTGGAATGCTGCTGTTCACAACAATGGAGGGAGTTTTCTTTGCCTTACCAGATGATGAAGATGGTGTGAAAACTCGATTGTGGGAGAAGATCCCAGAGCTTCTTGGTTTTGCTCGTTTCAGAGCAAACAGAATATAATGGGTCAGTGGCTGCTTTATTTGTTTGTTTAATGTGCATTTTTAAAATGCAGTACATTTTACTGTAGGATAGTGACCAGAATCTTACCATTCCTCTTTATCCCACCGACACCAGTTTCACTTTCATCATTCCACCCATGTCACTTTTGCTGCTGCTGAGCATGACTAAAATCCTGGACCTTTTGTGTTTATGAACAGTGCTCTGATCAGTAGAAATTACTACTTATTCATTGTTCTTGAGAGATCCTACCAGGTCTTGATGCAGTATTCACTGAAGTCAACGGGGCAAATTCACAGCTGGCGTCAACTGAGGACTTACAATTGTTCACACCAGTTGAGGATGTGCCCCAGGAAGATTCCTTTGATGAACTTCACTGGGCACTGGATCAGGCCTATCAGGAGCAAAAGTGCAGAAAATCTATTAAAAGAGAAACTGTTTTAGTAAGAATGTTTTAATGGGCTGACTTAATACAGCTGCAAGATGTGTGTCTTACTATAAAAGAGATGGACTTAAGTCCTGGGGAGCTCACTTACCTGCCAGATCATAAAGCCATTCGGTCAGAATGTTTCAGTAATAGTTTGTGCTATAACAAAATTAATTGGGTTCCTTTTCCGCTTTCTTCACAGGTCTCCATGTATATTAACTTAAACACATGTAGTTTCTTTGAATCTATATAGCATGTAAGAACCAAATAAAATTTGTTTGAAATACTTATACTTTTTTATATTTTTGGTTGTCATGTTATGTTAGTTTGAACCAGGGACCAGTTTGTTACAGCTACTCTCGGCCTCTAATCCAAATGTGGCCAACCTGCAGTACACGTGCCACAAGTGGCACAGGCAAGCTCTGTGTATAGATTGGGGAGCACAGTGGCAAATAGGGCAGGGAACAGAAAGCAGAATAGCAGATAAGACAGGGAGCACAGGGCAGGAAGCAGAGTAACAGATGAGGCAGGGGAAATGGCATTTAGAGAGGGCACAAGGCTTAATTTGTGACATGCCTGCCAGAAACGTTGGCTCCCACTGCTCTAATCTTTTTGTTAGGCAAATAGTATAGGATCATTTATAACTAGGATTGGGCTGAGGAGTTGGTATGCAGAACTAGATTCAAAGTAAGTTTAAGGATATTGGATTACACTTTGAGATATTATAAACTGTTCTCATTTGATTTTAAACCAAACCCCTTGATTCATCACTGAAGTCAATATGACTTAAGAAAGTGCATTACATAAAGGACTTTCATAAGTCCTTTGTTGAACTGGGACACTTTTCCTTTTGTGGTTTGACATTTAATCCAAACAATAGGTGGTGTGTTCAGATTTAGGGATTTGAATCAGTATTCTAAAAAAATTCAAAGGAGCTGAGATTCAAAGTACTGGTTTTGACCCATCTGTATTTACAAGAGGATTTTGAATTGAAAGAAAAAAGTAACTGTTGATCTCCTTTCAAGGGTGGTGGAGTGGGGGTGGCTGTTAAGAGGTGTAGGTAATCATGGTATTTAATAGTGTCAACTTCATAACTGCTGCCATCGCTGGTTCAACCATCTGCACAGTCAGATGCTGTGTGACTAATTCAGTAGGACAGATCTAGGAATTGTAAAAGCCTCACTTATTGTTAGAAAGTGTAGAGTCATAATCTTTCATAGCAACTAGATTATTGTTGTGGATTGAACAGATTCACCTCATTGCTTTAATTAAGTCTCACAGCACAAAAATGAAGTTCTCACATAAGTGCTCTTTAGCAATTTTGTCCATTACGTTAATCATTGCATCACCAAAGCAGGGCTATTCATCATTAAATTTTGGTTTATCTTACATTTTCTGTCTTCTGCTCATCATCTCATTCCCATTGGGCGCAGTGTCCCTTTTTCCTTTCCTATATGATGTTTACGATTAGCTAAAACTACTGATACAATAGGAAGCACCAGATAAACTGATTTTAATGTGAGTACTTCTTTCTTGTTCCTAACATAGATTCATAGACATTAGGGCTGGAAGGGAGATCGTCGAGTCCAGCCCCCTGCCCCAGGGGCAGGAAGTCAACAGGGATCATAGGATCCTAGCAAGATAAACATCCAAATGAACATATTGTCCTGTGTCCTACAGTAGCATAGCCTTGTTTCTGCAATTAATATAAGTTCACCTGAAGGATAGTTCATTGATCTAAGGTTTGAAATCCAATTCTCCCTGGAATTACTTATTTAATTTGTGACCATGCCATTTCAGCACTTCATGCTACATCTGCTAATAAATTTAATACTCTGTAGTTAGGTGTTTTGGCATCTTGCAATATGAGAATTTTAAAAACAAGTTCCTGAATATTGTGTGTGGAAATGGAAATTTTTCTTCACTTTGCATAAGCCTGGGTGTCCAAACATGGCTCCTGTTTTCCCTGCTTAACAATTTTTTTATTTTTCTATAGGAAGGTTTGAGTAAGCTGTGTCTTAGCTGCTAATTGCCAGAAAGATTCTACTGTTATAAGGAACCAATTAGTAACAATAAAAAGAGCCTAAAGGAGGATTTTTCTAAGGCGCCATGCTGCTACCACAACAGTCGCTGAGTACTTCGTTTCCATGCTTTTCCAAATATCGCCCCCACATCCCCCCCATGTTCATTTTGCATCTCATTGCCAAAGACTCCTACATCTCTATAGACTGAAAGGTTCTGACAACCAACGGCCTAATCCCAGGCTGGGGGGCAGAGGGGAGGGGGAGCAAGTCTCAGCAATGCCTGTGCAAATCAGTAGGTTTGGGAGGTATATGGCCCTCCTGGAACCAGGTCCTTGCCAGCATACATACTTCATACCTTTCTCTTACACTGAGAAAGTGCTGGGTTCTCTAAGTTCTTGTATAACCAAAAGCAGGTACTAGACCTTTAGATGGATGAGTAAATAATGCCCCACAGAAAATAAATTTCAAGATGGACAAAAGTATTGGTCCTCTTCTCCCCTTCAGAGCCTGGAAGAATAGCAACCAGTTCTGCAAAATGTCTGGGATTCAGGGAAGTGAAGCCAAGAGTTAAGGAAGAGTTCATTCTTCTGGGGAAAGATTTCTCTCCCAGTGGTTCACCAACCTTCTTGGACTTCATAGAATCATAGAAGTCGGGTTGGAAGGGACCTTGTAGATCTTCAAGTCCGACCCCCTGCCTGGGCAGGAGAAAAAACTGGGCTCAAATGATCCCAGGTAGGTAGGCATCAAGCCTCCTCTTAAAGACCCCCAGGGTAGGAGCCAGCACCACTTCCCTTGGAAGTTGGTTCCAGATCCTAGCTGCCCTGACAGTGAAGTAGTTCTTACGGATGTCTAATCCAGACCTCCTCTCCAACAACTTGTGGCCGTTATTCCTTGTTATGCCAGGGGGTGCTAGGGGAAACAAGGTCTCTCCCAAACCCTTCTGGTCCCCCTAGTGAGTTTATAGTCAGACACCAGATCCCCCCTCAATCTTCGCTTGTGAAGGCTGAACAGGTTCAGGTCCCGCAGTCTCATTGTAGGGTCTGCCCTGTTGTCCCCGGATCATGCGAGTGGCCCTCCTCTGGACCCTCTCAATGTTGTCCACATCCCTCCTGAAGTGGGGAGCACAGAACTGGACACAATACTCCAGCTGTGGCCTGACCAGTGTCGCGTACAGGGGGAAGATCACCTCCTTGGTCCTACTCGAGATGCACCTGTGGATGCACGACAAGGTCCAGTTAGCCCTGCCAACCATGACCTCGCATTGTCGGCCCATGTTCATCTTGGAGTCAATAATGACTCCAAGATCCCTTTCTGCCTCCATGCTCTCAAGAAGGGAGTTTCCCATCTTATAAGTGTGCTGGTGGTTACTGCTGCCCAAGTGCAGCACCCTGCACTTGTCAGTATTGACTTGTGGCATCTCTCATTGGACTTGAGGCACCCCTCCATCGTAACTTTTGTGAACTGAGTGGTGCCTTGTTTCAAAAACTAATTTATATGTTACAGTGCTTACCTACTTGGAAAATGACTGGGCAGCAACACAGGGATGCAATCAGGCACCTGGGGCACAGGGCAGCGGACATTTGTTTGCCACTGCAGTCACTCTTGTAATTACACAACTGCCAACAGCAGACACTTTTTTGCCCTGTTCTGTGCCCTGAGTTAATACCCAGGTGGTTTCCCCATTTGCTCCTCCTCAGTTATGGCACAGGGGCCAGGCATTGGTGGAGGCATCAACAAGCCTGAACCTGCACTGACCAGCTTATCGCCTCATACCTTGCTTATCACTTCACAACTCACAGAACCCTTCAAAGGACCTTGTGGCACCTCAGGTTGCTGTGGCACCCTGGTTGAGAATCAGTGCTCTGGCTCCTGTCCATGGGAGTGTATGAACCCGCTGGTATTCTACTTGTGACCCAAACTGCATTAACTGAGCAAAGCAGCTTGTCTCGCTTCTGTTCACACATCTGGGAAATGTATCTATATTTACTAAGGTGGTGTTGGTCCTTATTGGAGGGCAACACACTTCTGAAATCCAATGGTTTATTGTTGTTTACATAGTACAATAGAAGATGCTTCCAGGACAAGTAGACCTACAATCCAGCTTAACAATGGAGGACAGCCAAAGAGCATAGAAGGTCTAGGATTACACTAGCAAGACTGCAAGATACTTTCTTATGTGCATTCTTTCATAAGGGTCTTTTGTGGGGGGGAGAGAAGAGTTTGCATTTTTAATATGTTAATACAGTTTGGGAGATTAAAGGTCTTCAAGAGTTTGCAGTTTGGAGGTTGGAACTACAAGGTGCTAACAATGGGTGCAAGGAAGCAGTCAGACCGTGGGGTGGGAGCATCATCCCTGGACTACTGCTAGGGACTGAAATATGACAATTTGCACTTTCCCCATTCAGCTTGATCCACCCTTGACATATACAAATATGATGCAATGGGGTGCCTCACACCACGCCTCCATTACCATATTCTCTGGCTTCTTTCCAGAATTCTGTGGAGTGCAGAATTACTAAAGGTGAAAGACTGGACTGGACTTATCTTTCACATCTGGGCAATTTCAGGACCCTTCCTCCTGCCCTGCCTGCCCTGTAGACTGAGGCGCAAACTTGTACAAGGGGACCCTACAAAACTGCCAGAAAGACTCCCTGCACCAACAGTATTCACCAAGGGGACTTAGAATGATAGTTGCTGTTCTCTCTGCACCAGTTCTGCTGGCAAAGAGAGCCCTGGAACAATTATGACTCAGGCTCAGAGTCTTCAAGATTTGGTCCAAAACCCATTCTAAAGACAAGAGCAAGTCATCGACCACTGCATAGAAGCACTGTTCAAACTCTAGCTGGCACTGAACAAAGACAAGTAACTATACCACATTCTCTTTATGTAAACTAATAGGGCAGCATGAACTCTAGTCTGAAAGAAGACCAGACCCTGTGTATATTCTTCTCAAAGCTTCCATGGCTGACTAACAAAGGGGTTAAATGTCCATGTGGCTGATAACCACCCTTAGAAGCTTTTGTGTTTCTTCTGTCTGTTGATGGACCCTCTCAAGATGCTCCATCAGTTGACTTTGCCTGATGGCTGATGAAAATTCTGGATCTAAGAACAAAGGAAAACCAGTGTGTGATTATCCAGCCCACACAAATGAAGTGTCCTGCCCAAATACATGCTCTTCCTATTAAATGTCTATAGAATTTAGTTATTCTTTCCACAATAAACAGGATTATGCCTTACTGTGTTATCTGTGATACACATATGCTATAATCTCCAGGAAATGTACACAATACTCCATTACCACAAAAAGGAAAACAATGACTATCCCCACATTTAGGGCTTCATCTTCACGGGAGGGTATGCCACTTATCTTCCCCAATCAATTCACCCCAGAGCTCAAAAGGTTGAGTGCAATGCTACGATTTCTCATATAACACTACAGAATGATACAGGTAGGCCATGAAGCTGACTCAGAGCACGTGTATATGTGATGTATTTATTTATTAGTTTGGATGCATTCTTTCATCTGATGTCTAGTTTTCCATACAAAAATACTATAACAGTTTTAAAGGACATAATTAAAATGAGTAGTCCTAGGAGATGGGCTCTACCAATTTCCTTTTCATTTGGTTTGATAAGCCTGCTCAGTCAGATTTTTATATTGCTATCTTTCAGAGGATGATACGTCATATAGATTTTTAAATATATTTTATTGTCCTCATGTTATGAACTAGATAGCTTTCCACAAATGGGAAAGCATTGTGCAGAAAGGTTCATTGATACTAAATCAGATTAAATTTTAGGCCTGTCAACCTTATACAATGCCCTCCATGGACTGAAAGGAGATTTGATAAGTCTTTCCATCTGCATGGAAATTATGAAAAGTATGGTGATTGACTATTCTCTGTCACTCTAGGTAACCAGACTAGGAGCAATTGCCCCAAACTGCAGCAGAAGAAATTTTAGGTTGGAAAGTAATAAGAAATTTCTGACTATAAGGCTGGTCAACCAGTGGAACAGGCTGCCTGGAGAAGTCAAGGAACCTCTACCCCTGGAAATAGTTTCATAGTTAGTAGGGTCGGAAGGGACCTGAGCAGATCATCAAGTCCAACCCCCTGCCATGGCAGGAAACAGTACTGGGGTCAAATGACCTCAGCAAGGTGATTGTCAAGCCTTGTCTTAAAGACCCCCAGGGTAGGAGCCAGCACCACTTCTCTTGGAAGTTGGTTCCAGATCCTAGCCGCCCTGACCGTGAAGTAGCGCCTCCTGATATCTAGCCTAAATCTACCCTCTGCCAGCTTGTGACCATTATTCCTAGTCACTCCTGGTAGTGCTCGGGGGAACAGGGACTCCCCCAGTGCCTGCTGGTCCCCTCTGACTAGTTTGTAACAGGCCACTAGATCCCCCCTCAGCCTTCTCTTGTGGAGGCTGAACAGGTTCAGGTCCCGTAGCCTCTCCTCGTAGGGCCTGCCCTGCTGCCCCCTGATCATGCGAGTGGCCTCCTCTGGACCCTCTCCATGCTGTCCACATCCCTCCTGAAGTGCAGCGCCCAGAACTGGACGCACTACTCCAGCTGCGGCCTGACCAGTGCCACATAGAGGGGGAGGATCACCTCCTTGGACCTGCATCTGTGGATGCATGACAAGGTGCAGTTGGCCTTCCTGACTGCATCCCCACACTGCCGGCCCATGTTCATCTTGGCATCAATGATGGCTCCAAGATCCTTTTCTGCCTCTGCACTGACAAGAAGGGAGTTCCCCAGCCTGTAGGTATGGTGCCGGTTGTTCCTCCCCAGGTGCATCACCTTGCACTTGTCAGTGCTGAATCCCATCCTATTCTCATCCGCCCACCCCTGTAACCTGTCTAGGTCTGATTGCAGCCTATTCCTCCCTTCTAGCATGCCCACATCCCCCCTATGTATTTAAAAAAGGACTTCTTGTTGTCCTTGATCCAGGAAGCTAGTCCCAGTTCCATCTCCGCCTTGGCCTTCCTGACTGTCCCCCTGCATCCCTGAGCAACCGCAGTATAATCTTCCCTGGTGATGGCCCCTCCTTTCCATTTTCAAAACCAAGTTAGACAGAACTTTGATTGAAATGGTTCAGTCAGGGATGATCTCACTCTGAGCAGAGGCTGACCTAATTGAGGTCCCTTCCAGCCCTACTGCCCTATGATCCTATGTAAAAGACAAAAATGTGATAAGGGCAAACCATTATGCATTCCCCCACCTCTTATATAAAGACAATTTAAGCAAGGAAGCATGAGCAAGAAGGTAACTGGTGTGTGATCTTCGTACGTGTTTTATAGGAGTTACGTAGGTAGTAGCAGATGTTCATTTCTAATGACTGCCATCCATGCCTCTATTTGCTCATTTGTTTAATCAAACCAGCATTTGTTTTGGACATGGATTTTGAACTTTGCCCAGTACTGCCTCGTTTCATCTCAAAAGCAGCTTTGTCACGCAAAGAGCACACCCACCTCCATGTAATATTAAATAAAGTTGTATAATTGGCCTTCTATGTCTCTTCATCAGGGACAACTCATGATAAAGCCTTTTCATTTTCAAACACTCAAATGCCATCATCTTTAATCTGTGAAAAATATTCTCTTTGGTTAACTAATTGTGTCTTAAAAGAGCCAAGGTGATTGCTACCCCTGGATACACCCTTCTTAGGTGAAGAGAGTCACGGAAAATTACATACCTCTTCCAGTGATGAGGACTGCATATGAAATTTTTGATCTAATGCAGCAAATGTAGCGTGTTGACATAAACAGTCAAGATTTAGCTGTGCCTTATATCCTATATACTGGTACTGAGGGATCATGGGACATACCTTCCTGTAATTTGCAGATGGTGGAAATGCCCAGCTGCTGAAAACGAATCTCTCGGTGGGTGAGAAAATTCATTAGGTAGTACTGAATCTCTGTAATGTGGTATTTCAACAGAGACCTCACCTTTTCTACAACAAAGGGCAAGGGACCAGAAGAACAAAGAGAAACAATTAAAACATTTATTTTTAATTGATTTTGTAGGGCAATGGCTGAAACCAAGCTAAGCATGTGATGCCATTTCAAAATGTTATCATTACTGGCTCAGTGCTCCTTTTCCCAGTACATGCTCTATTCTAATTGTACAGGACAATAAAAGGGCCTCCTCATGTTATGAACCATCACTGTCATGGATATTTCAGCTAAATTGCATGCATGATTTCTGCTGAAACAGTTGATGCAATGGGAGGGTAATAGTTATGTGAAGCATGTGCTGGTTCATGGACATCTCAGACTATGGATTAGCCCTTCATACTGCCCCATCTAGTTCATAAATATGTAAATATGTCAAAAGCTCTATGCAGGATTTGTGCCTTCAGGCAGCCGAACACCAAATAAGATTTTTTCTCTGTTTTAAGATGTTTGATGCAAGGATTTAAGTAGGTTTGAGTTTTCCCTTGTTAGATCCTTTCAGTCCTAATTCCTCTTGAGTCGGAGTGGGAAAGAATTTGAAATGTAGCTCCCCCTTTCCTTGGAGAGTGGTGTCAAGGAAAGATGCAGACTCCTGCATTTCTATCGACTGCAAATATACTTTTTTACTTGGTAAACTGAAAGGATCTAAGGATCATTGAGCAAATGCACTGGGCACAGAGATACTTAATATCTCAGCTGCTAATGTAATATTCCTTTCATTAACAGGAATTCAGAGATTACTGGCTGAATTCTCAAAGATCTACTTTCCCAAGGGCTCCAAATCATTTATTAACGACTAAGGATGAGAAAACTAGCTGTTTTTCAGTGGGTGCATCTGAAATCAACCCAGGTGGAACTTCTTGCTTTGAAAGTTTGCAACCTCTTTTACCTATTGAAGGGCAATGCAACCATATGGCTTGGACTAAAATATTCGGTCCGGTGAAGTAGGGAGAATGATCATGTTTGTGATCTGAAATGTGCTCAAAATAGGTTCCTTTATATTCCACATGGTGAGAAATGTGTTTTATACCCACCCACCTCTTTGTCTATCCTGTTTAAGGACTTTCATCACATTGCTAGATGGCTAAAGCACAAGTCTAAGCACTAGAACAGAGATAGACAAAAATACAGCCTGCAGGCTGGATTTGGCCCACCAGTTGATTGTATCCTGCCTACAGCTGCTCGCACAGTGCTCTGCATGGGGCTGAGCCCTGCCTAGAGCATCCCGTGCTGTGCTCCTGCCTGCATCCACCCCATGTCAGCCAACAGCACTGTCCCAGCCCCAGCCAGCACACACAGCTTCCCAGCAGGGTTGCTCCAGCTGCTGCTGCAGCCACCAAAGTACTCCAGGCAGCAGGTAGTGTGGGAAAGTGGAGGCCACCGTGAGGGTGTGTGTCAGGCATGATGTGCCCAGCCAGGCCAGGGGGAAACTGCAGCCGGGCAGCTGCTGCCTCAGCACAGGGGTCTCTCACTTCCAGCTGCCTTCCACCTACTCTGCCCACCCAGCATGATGAGTAGCCAGCTGCAGGTGGCTGGATGGGCAGATTGCAGCCTTGCCAGGAAGCTATGGCTGGTGCAGGCAGGAGCGGGCTGCCCTGGGTGGGATTGGCCAGGGCTTAGTCCCATGAGAAGCACCACAAAGGTAGCCACGGGTCAGATGGGATGGGAAGCAAACCACACCTGCACTGCCCAGGCAAGCTCTGCTGCATGCACCCCTTGGCCCCCCGCTTCCTTCCTCCCTCCCCCCACCCTTGGCTGGCTCCCAGGACCTAATGTACGGGCAGCCCCCTACACACATGGTCACACCCGCCACACACACAACATACATGAGTAAGACTTTATTTTGAGCTACTATGCAATCGTCTCTATATACACTACTAAAAAAAAACCCCAAAACAAATCGGGACAAAAATTATTTTTTGAAATAAAATTTATATGTTATAGTAGATGTTTGATTTTTTAATATGTGATTTGTTTTTTTTATCTACAGTTTGTTAAAATGATATATTCTGAAAGATTTTGTGTATGCAGTCCTTGACAGCTCACCAAAACTCGTTAAGTGTCCCACCAGCTGAAATAATTGCCCACCCCTGCATTAGACCCTCAGCTGGTATACACTGGGATAGTCCTGTAAATTAAACATAGGAATCAGTATGATGAGTTGTAGCTCTACCTCTGCCTTGGCTTCTCTATTTCACCAAATCAAGTTCTCTAAGCTGAAGTGCCCTTATCTGTAAAATGGGAGCAGCAATACTCGCATGTCTTCATAAAGTGATGGGAGGCTACATTATACCGATGAAGTGTTTCTGAGATAAGATGAAAGCTGCTATAGAAATACTAATCTCTCTTTGGTGACTGAAGGCTGAAAAGACTCAGACTTGACATTTCACTTTCAGTGCATCTATGAATGTGTTGAAAATGCAATTAAATTCCATTCATAGCACTTACCATGACATATCACATGCTGGATAATGGACGCAGCTTGAAATGAGGGCTCTGTATGTTGCAGTTGGCCAGCTAGTTTCACTAAGCATTTTATTAGGGATTCATCCATCCACTGTAGCATGTGTAAGGCAGATCCTTCTGGGAGATAGGAAGGGATAAAAAGGCTGAATGATAGAGCAGGCAAAAAGCCATAGAGTCAGATCTTATTGCGCTTACTAGGCAACTAAGTGTGAGCCTACTCCATGCAGCTTGAGTCTCTGAAAAAGTGTACACAAATGGTGGTTGGCTCCCCTTCCTGTTATTTGTGACAGTCTTCACAGTAAAGTGATGGTGTGTTACAAAAGTAGGTGTGATAACTTTTTTTCCCCAGGGCCTCAGCTACCAGGTCCACTCAGGCACCTAAAAGGTGGAACAGGATCTGCTTCATTGGGTGTGTCTACATGTTGCCCTACAGCAACGTAGAGATGCACTATGTCACCATATGGTGCACTATGGCAGCGTAGCAATCATGCAGGTCTACATGCGATACCCAGCTATGTCACCGTAGCAGTGCACTCCCCCACTGTAGTACGCCGCAATTTAGTGGCAAAATCTAACTCTGCGTTGTGCGTGTCGTGCAGTAACCATTCGTATGGAAGCTTTAGTACTTCCAAAAGTACTAAAGAGGATCCTGTTCCACCTTATAGGTGCCGGAGTGGACCTGGTAGCTGAGGCCCTGAAAAAAGAGTCAGCACACCTACTTCCAAAAGGAAGTACAAAAGCACGGAGCTGTAGCAACGTTACTGTCTGGCGACATGTAGATGCGCCCATTGTGTTGAAATAGGAAAGCCCTTTGCACAGCTGGAGGAGCAGAAAGCACACAGAACTTTGGGTTCCAGGTCCTACGGTTGTGAACTCGATGAAATTTGCCTGAAGAGTCAGAAAGGGTAATCACTTTTATAATGGAAGTCCGAACACTGAGTGTCAGGCTGTGGCCTTGACACTTGGGCTGTCACTCACCCCAGTCTGTCACCTCCTCAGCTGAGCATTGAGGTGGGCATAGGTGGTCACAACCTAATATCTGGGCCTAGCCAGGGTCAGCTGACCCTTGATGCCTTCTTATAAAAACCCCTGAGCCAGAAGAGGAAGCGTCTGGGCAACAAGGCTCAATGTTGTACCCAGGCTGCCTCACCCTGGGTTTGTGCCTCTGACAGATTCTCTGGCTACCTGACCCACCTTACCCACAGACCTTGAGTTTGACCTGACCCTTGGCTCCCTAACCTGACTCTGTTTTCATCTCCCAGATACCCAACCTGGCTAGTCTCTTGACCCCATGCTCTGTCCAACCTTCTAGATCTCTTGACTCGGTTCCCCAGATGGATCTTCTAACTTCCTGGCTCTCTTACACTTGAATTCTGCACACCTCCCTCAGACTTTGATTGCTTTTTCTGACCCTGGGTAATCCCCACTACATGGCCACCCACAACCCATCATGACACTGAGCCATTCTACGAAATCCAAAAGCCACTTTGATCTGGTGGTCTCAACTGATCCTGTCATCACTGGACCCAAGTCCACTTCATTAAACTAACCAACATAAATCACCGCCCAGAGATCTCACCACTTGTGTGGTGAGATCTCCAAGTTCACTGGTTTGCCAGCTTGGTTCCTGCTAGAATTGGCACCTTGGCATGGCTCCAGAACCCAGAGGCAACCACCTCTCACCCCTTTTTCCCTGGCAACAAATTCAACAGTGGGCAAGGGGGCAAGCAGTGGCAGTGTTCACTCCTTGGGTTCTGGAGTCAGGCCAGAATAGGAGCTGTGCCAACAAGTGATTGTGTCCTGCTGACAGAGTTTGGGTCTCCAGTGCAGTCAGTTTTGAACCCTTTACAATATAAAAATCACTGCACAAAAAAACTACAATGGAAAAACGAAAGCAAGTTTGCATTTGGGCCTTTTTGGGTTTTTTTTAAGTTGCTCTCACCTGCTATAAGATTAATCCAGTACTATCAGAGAGAGATTACACATAAAAGTGGCTAAACCATCTACCAGAAAAGGGTTAGGCAAAATTAATTTTGATTAGGGCAGTTTAAAGCTTAAATAGTTCAAAAGGAAAGCCTTCAAACAATTAGGTCGGTTTATCATATCAGTGCAGTAGATCTAATTTTACTTTCATCATAGTTAATGGTAAAACTCCCTTTTGCTTTAAAGAGAGAAAAATTGGGCCCACTGTGTGTGTGCATGCTCACCTATGTTTGCTCAGTCCTTATCATCAGTAATGAAATATGTGTGCACACTGAGAAATTAAGCTGCTTACTGTGTAATTGCTCCCCTACCATGCTTTGCCAGCTCAGCAAGACAAGCTATCACATAATGAAGAGGTTCTTCTTGAACATCAGAAGAGAGAATGGTATAGAGGAGTCCTTCAAAACAGGAGCTTTCCATGATTCTCTATACCAAAAAAAGAAAGAAAGAAAGATAATATTTAGTACTTACATGGTGCTTTGTACTTTCCAAGAAGGTTAGAAATATGTACTAATTCATAGGTGTACTGAGGATCAAATAGATCAGTGGTTAAAATGGCCCCTAGGCTTACTAAGAATAGAACAAGATGTGTTGGGAACACCAAATTCTGTTGGGAACGAAGAAACTAATTCCACAGCTCAGAGTTTTCAGGAGCTATCCTGATTTCAAATAAACAATCACATAACTCACAATGTTTTCAAGATCTTCCTATGACCTCAGATGTCTCTTAGGGTCACAAAATATTGTGATATGGGTCTTTGTGTCTGTCTGTGCTTAACAACAATGTCAGCAAGTGCTGATATTTTGACACAGAGCCAAAGTGTTGCATACTGCATGCTGTGTGGTACGGATTACTTTCCTCAGAATTGCCGCTAAATGTCTGACAATTTTTTGGCATTCAAATGCACAAGAGAGCTGAGATGTAGTTTCATTAGAGCAATCAGCAAGGGATAGGCACCATTATGTTGCCAAACCTTGCAATGTCATATCAGCTTGCGAAGTGTTTACGCAGTGTTGTGCATCTACAGCCTTTTGGTAAAGCACATGGAAAATACAGTTTTAAAAACTTCATGATATTTTTATCCAGCCATCCAGCATTAGCTCCAGCATCATAACTATGGTATGTCCACTGAAGTCAAAGAAAAACCCAAAATACTGAAGAAACATTGGCATTTTATGTCACGTGTTAATATATTTTTTGGTTTTCTTTGTTTTTTTAAATCTTTAATGCACATCACTTGGCAGTACTGTGCACAGGACTTTCTAGCCAAAAGCCATGACATTGTGTGCCCCAGTTTACTCATGGATCTGGATAAGTCACCAGACTCCAACACCTGGAAGCAATTTGAGGAAGAGCCACTCCAAACAGCAGTTCTTTTTCAGGTCTGATGTGTCCCCTGGTAGGTCTGAACTGTAAAAGGAACTGAGGTCCCCCCACTCAGAAGCTAAAAAAGAAAGTAGCCAAATACATTGCTGAACCTAAATCAATGATGCAAGGGAGAGCTGTGGTGAGCTGATAGGTGTTTGCATCATATTGTGACCTACAGTTAACCTTGTAGCCAAAACTTGAAGATAATGACCTACATTTAGGTCACTATCACAATTTAAGCTAAATTTATGCTACAAGGTAGGAGGCGAAGCCCAGGACTTCCATGGTAGCATTCTCTGAAATGCTTCCAGTACCACGCACAGGGCCAGTTAGACAGGCAGAGCTTCAGAGTAGAGAACTGGGTGACCTTTTGGAATAGGGGGAGTCTGGGATGGTCTCTACCTGAGCCAAAATGGTACCAAACTGCTGACACATAATATTAAAAAGGTGGAAGAACAGCTTTTAGACTAAAAATGGGGAGAAATCTGACAGGTGCAGAACAGCACACAGTTCAGGCTGACACACCCTATAGAGATGAAGCAATAAAAAATGAAGATAAGAAACAGAAAAGACAAGCACAGGCAAATACCTTTAACAGTTATAAAGTCACAAAGAAGCCAACCAGTAATCGGCCAAGCCAATAAAGAGTACACATGCTTTTATACTAGTGCCAGAAGTCTAAGATCAAAGGTCAGGGAACTAGCAGTAAATAATGATATTGACATAATAGGTATCTGTGAAACAGTGGAATACAAAAAATGCTATAATACCAAGATACAAATTATACAGGAATGATTGAATAGGATATACTGGTGGGGAAGTGGCACTCTACATCAAAGACTCCATCAGATCAAATAGTGTTGATTTTTGAACTGAAAAAAGACGTACTCTTTGATAGAAATTCTAGGTTGCAGTAGAAAAGAAGTATGTCTGGGAATATACAATTGACCCCCGACCAGAAAACCTGATAGTAATGGGTGACTTCAACTGTCCACAAATAGACTGAGTTCATCTAACATCAGGCTGTGATTTAGAGACCAAATTTCTTGAAGTTATAAAAGGCTGCCTCTTGGAGTAGTTAATCCTGGAACCTACCAGAAGAAAGGCCATCCTAAGTAGTGCACTAGATTTGTTGCAAAGGGTAAATGTTAGTGAGTCGCTCTGCAATAGTGACCACAGGGCAGTTGGGTTTGACTTCTATGTAGGAGGGGAGAAAAGTAGAAAATCTACCACAGTAGTCTTTAATTTTAAAAAGGGAGACTACACCAAAATAAGGAAGCTAGTTAGACAGAAGTTAAAAGCCCCTAAGGAGATGAAGAATGTGCAAACAGCATGGGAACTGCTAAAGAACACCATATTAGAGGCACAGAACAAATGCATTACCACAAATCAGAACAAGAGAAAATGAACCAAAAGAAAGCCAGCATGGTTTAATGACAGAGCTGCAGAGGTAAGAACCACAAGAAAGGATTCTTTCAAAAAGCGAGAGTCAAATTCTAACGAGGAAAATAAAAAAGAGCAAAAACGGTGGCAAATCTGTTACCTCTCAACTCCACATTGTTGGGGAACCCTGACACAGGACGCAGCTTGTCTGACTCACAAAGAATTCCCCCCATCCTCTACCTAAACAACAACTGATTACAAAAGACAATGAAGATGCAGTGGGAGACGCACCTAAAGCCTTCCAGATAAGGATGACAAAAGTGAAACAACTGCCCTAGGTCTTATTTGCATCCAAGATAGAACCAGATGACAATTCATTTACATGGGAGATGGAGAACAGAAAGCCCAAGCAAAGACTGCAGTGAATTCTGGGATCAGAAAAGCAGGGAAGCACTGCATGATGGGGAATTTGTGCTCCAAATGCTAATTAACCCACATTTACACACGCCCAGCTCAGCAGTTATCACACCAATTCTCCCCCACCCGACAAACGCACCTCATCTAACCAGAACTAAGCAGATGTAAAGTTTAATAGGCATCTTGGGCTGTACATTCCCTGGTCCCACTATTTAAACTTGACTGACTAAAACTCAGTTGCCGGGTTAGCAAATGCTGAGGCAAGAAACCGAGTCAGAGGGGGTATGG